CTAGATACATTTTCCAATAGTGTTATAAAAACCTCTAAGAATTCCAGTACGATATATTTAATCATTTCTGAAATACAACGGTTTAAAGTTTAATTTAACAATTGGACAATTTTAGCGTTATACCTGGTATATATATATATATATATATATATATAGTAATGATACAATATGGTAATCCGTATGGAATTTCCAGGAGGATATAGATCCAAGGAGAGCTCTATATCAAAAGACGGTATTTTTCCAATATACACTGCACTAACTACATTTTATGCACTTTCACCTTCTCAAATGGCATACTAATGTTCCATCTGAGTTCAGTATATCAAAATAGATCAATACTATCTGCCTTTTCCCACCCTCTAAATAAGATAGCAATATCTCTTGTTTTTAACCCGGAGTATTTTTTTCCATTTCATTTGTAATTTCTTTGTAGGTCTTGAAGATTTAGAGCTGCCTTTTTGGAGCTCTCATGAAATAAAAATTATTACCTATGGGATTTTAAGTGTTTGATATTCTTTACTTAATTATATATATATATATATATATATATATATATATATATATATATAATGCAACGGAAAGAAATTGTTCAACTCCATTTAGATGCGAGACATACGATGGTATAGCCACACGTCTCTCCACTTCAATTTAAAAATGAATGAAGGATATGTTTCAGTGAAGTTTGTTCTCTCTTTGACGCATACGCACACGAATAATATATTATTCATATGTATGTATGCTTGCGTGTGCGTGTGCGCTTACGTCTATCGGGTAATATTTTCTCATGTAAAATGATTCTCGTATTGAATTTTAAATCTATGTTTTAATTTTTGGCACGTCTAGAAACTATTCCGAAAATATCAAATTTAAGCATATTAGACTTACGAAGAATTAATTCAAAATATGTGGTTGATAGTTTCAGTCCGTCGCCAGCTGTTATGTGTAAAGCTCTATATTTTGTGATGATTAAATTAAATACTTGAAATCAAATTTTGTGTATACTTAACAGAGGCTCCGAATATGTTGTATCTGTCATACTAAAACATTTTCAGATAATATCAGACGAGAACTCGAGTTTTTATTTTTAACTGCTATACAACGAATTGTTTTTCACTTATTTCTCAATATTGACTTTGGCTTATGTCTTTTTTCTGCTGCAAATTGTTGATTTCAGTTGTACTGGCTTAGGGCAAACGTCACGTTGACACATCAGTTTTTATAAAATCACTGAAGATAAGCAACATGAAGACTGTTTAGTATCGAGATGGGTGACAGCTTTGAAACACCAGGTACTGAGAGCTTGGATCGTAATAGAAAGAAGAGTTCCATTTGAGTTCGCGGTATCCACCCATGTATAGCATGAAAATTTATGAATCCGCTGGGTTAAATAGTTGCACTTGTATCAGTAAATCATTTCGGTTCGAAATTCCAATCATCTGAAGAAGGCCGGAGCGTATAACGGCTGAAACGTTGTGAATATAGCAATGAAGATACGGATAACTGCCTGAATAATGTAAATAATGTAAATAAATAATTACATATCAACAGTTCCTCAAATTTATTTAATAATAATATACATATTTACTTTAGATTTTTTTTCTTCATTCCCACCTAAATATTTTGTCCATACCGGCAAACTAACACCTATTTACATATCATTTCTATGGTATTAACTGTTATATGTGATCTAGATTATTATTTAAAGTATACAGAAGAACATGCATAGGTTAGATGCAGTGGTGACATCCTGCCGGTTCGCGCGAGCAGATTCTTTATATTTTATTAGCTTTTTTAAGCTTAGTGAACCAGTTGTTGGGTTACCCAAAATAATCTTATATATATATATATATATATATATATATATATATATATCCAAAATAATATTATATATATATATATACCCAAAATAATATTATATATATATATATATATATATATATATATATATATATATGATAAGCAAATATAAATGGATATAAACTCCGACAGAATGAAGAAAATATCTGGAAAAACAAAAACAAAATTCCTTAAATTGCGATTATGTTGTTTTAATATGAATGAAATGTCGACGTCTGACGTTTCGGTTTAACAACCTTCTTCAGAGCGGAAAGCTGATCATTTAAAATTTTCATTTATCTGTTTTGGATAAGACTTGTTTTTATGTCCATCGTTTTCGTCGTGTTATACTGATTATGTTAATTGTATTTTTAATGAATATTGTCCTGAAGAAGGTTATTAAACCGAAACGTCAGACGTCGACATTTCATTCATATTAAAACAACATAATCGCATTTTAAGGAATTTTGTTTTGTTTTTCCAGATATTTTCTTCATATATATATATATATATATATATATATATATATATATATATAGCCACAAATATAATTAATACCATTGCTGTAAGTTCTGCAGAGGCTAAAAGTGGCTTTTCTATGAGGACAAAAGAAATTGTCTTGAAGTTAAAAATGTGGCAAATCTTCTAGTCATAAATTTGATAGGTCTTGCATTAGATCTTTGGGACTGCAACGATTCAGTTCAAATGTGAAGCCATAAGACAGCTGATGACACAAAAAGTACCATACTTTTGAACAGAAATATGACAAGAACAGAATTTCAATATGAAAATAAATAAATGTTTTTTTATTGAATTATCAAAATAATACTTTTTGATATTATAAAGGGATTTGTTTCCATTCTCAGATTGAAAAGAAAATACGTGGAATAGGCTCCTTAAGATTACCTACCTTTTTGGAAATGGTTCTTGGAAATGTAGGATGCCATTATTGATTAGATGCAAATCGTGTGTTATTTTATATAAGAAACTTCAAAGTTCATTCATTTTGATATATATATAGCTGATCCTGGGATCACTCTTTGCTGATACCAAGAGATGATCGTCTATGCAACTACGTAGATTTACATATAGACATGTAGCAAGATATTTATCAAATTATAATGTCTCATTCTTTTCGAGGTTCATTAAATGTTTTATTAAATCTGATGACACCAAAACAGAGAGTTAAAAATAAAGTGTCTTTATATAACCTAGAGATAATGAACTTCATCAAACAGATAATTGTGAATTGAAACAATTCTTTTTTCAACGGCTTCTAGTCCAACTTCAGTCTCATCAACTGTGAAATATCTTTAATTACCGGATTTGTATCTCCGTCATAAAAATGAAGTAATTTTTTGTGTGTATACATTCTTTCACTAAATGTGTAATGCTTATTTTGTATTCTCTCTATATGTTTTTGTACGTATGCTTTCGGTACTTGGTGAGGGCATAACAAAGTTTCTATGTCTATCAATTAACGTAGATTTATTTAACTCCGCAGAGTAATAACATTAGCTTTGCCCTGTAACGTTTGAGCGCGCTTGTGTGTACATAGTAGGAATAACTTTCCGCCTTATTTCTCTGTTTTGTTTCCAATATCTTCAGTTCAGTATATCGCCTTTTTTATTTGACTGCAAAGCGCCTGCACCGGATGTCACCCAAGGTTCCGGTAGTCAAATAGTCATTCACACATGAAAAGGCGTGCTTTATTGGTGCAGACGAGTAGAAATCAACAATTAAAACATAAAATACATTTGTTTGGATTCCAATGACTACCAGAAAATTTGTAATTAAAATCGTATTTTTTCTGACTAAATCAAAATTCAGTACAAAAGAAATATGGCTGAATTTTTCATTTTTATAAAACCCAAGTATTTTTAGGTCAAAATTTATTCATGGGAACAATTATCATTGTTAATTCAGGCCTTTTTTGAATAGATATTTCCTGAAGATGATCTCTTCAATGTCCTCTTTATGTTTGTACACTTTTTTTATTCTCTTTTGTTTATCTTATGAGGAAACACAAAACGTTAATATTTTGCTTGTTTTATTCTTTTGCTGTCATTTTTTTCTCTCTCACACAAACTCTTTCTGAACACGTATAAGGCAGTGATGACGTCAGCACTTCCTGACGACTGCGTCTCACAGTGACACTGGAATGAATGTATGGGCTGATGTCATCTCTTGGCTAAACGATAGTTGGGCCAATGTCTTCCGCTAATGAATTGAGAAAGCATATTTCCTCTTTTTCTTCTCGGTTGATGTCCGTATAATGCACTGACCAGTTTGGGCAGAGGCGGGAATTTGCTTTCGGCTAAAAAGAGTAGAAGGCAGCTTTGTTTTATGCATGTTGGAGAAAAAGAAAAGAGAAGAGAAGAAAAAAAATCAAGGACAGATTAAAAAAAAAAATAGAAAGGAAAAGAAAAGGTAAAAAAAAATATTCAATAAAAAAATAAATGACGAAAATTAGAGTATGAAGGAGTAAATGAAATGAAGAAAAGGACAGAGAAGAAGAAAAAACAATGCAAGAAAATACAACTAAATAAATATCGAAAAAAAAAACGAAAAGTAGAGAAAAAGAAAAAAATCAAGAAGAAAGTAAAGAAAGAAATAAGAAAAACTCTCGGAAAAAATAGAAACAAATAAAAAAAAATGGTTATAAGACAGAGTCGAAATACTAACTTATTAACAACTGTTTCCATAAAAAATAGCTTAACAAAATTGATTTTGAATGAATATCTTGATTTAAAGAAATAACTTCAAATGCTTTTTTGCAGAAAAGAAAATCCAAAATTTTCCAAATACAAGATTACATTTACATACACATCTGAAAAATCTTACGTGGTCAAATTTTTCATTCGCTGTCTGAGAGAATAGCAAGGGAATTTTGTGTGGCTGAAGAAACTCGGAGATATACTTTCTCACATTTTGCGGGCGTATTTTTTACGATCAGTGACTATTAATTCTATTAGAGGTCGCTACACGAAGCAATCGCTGAAATGCTAGGAAAATTTGATCTATACCGAAAATATACTGAAACCAGTACTGGGGACAGACAACAAGTTAAACGCATATGCCAAAATAGAAAGTCGAGTACGACAACAATGTGTCTTCTCACCGATTTTATGTTTTATTGGCTTACGGACACGTCACGTTCAAAACCCAGTTCCCATAAGATCACCGAAGTAAAGCAACATCGAGTCTGGTCAGTACTTAGATGGGTAAACGCTTGAGAATACCATCTGCTGTAAGTTTGAATGTGTGGATAGAGTAATGGATAATGGCTCGGAATTATTAATCGGAGAGTCGAGTTCCAATTCCAATTGTGTTCGTTCTATACACTTACGCGTAAATAACCTTGGGAAATGTATGATTCCACCTCTTCTCCCCCCAGCTATGGATTAATTATTTGTATCCCTGAACCATTATTTCCCTAAAAGTTCTTACCCCTTAAGAAAACATTTTATGGCTTTAAATTATCTGCAAAGGGTTGATAAGCCGTAGAAAATGAATAAATGTATCAATTATTTATGTTTTATTAACCTGTATGGGGAGATTATTCTAGGAATACAAGAATATCTACCAGGTTTGTTGTCAGTGGACATAACCATAGCAACATACGCTGCGTAGATAACACTTCTGGAAAATTCAGAATGAAAAAAAAAAACTATTAGACAAGTCGAGGAAAGCAAGAAGAAAAGACTAAACATTAACTGTAAGAAGAGAGAATGTGTGGTTGTGAGCAAAAGAGACAACTCAGGGGTAGGGTTACGTTTCTGGGACGTCAAAATCAAGCAGGTGTGGAAGTACGTACAACTCTCTGATTACTATAGTAACAGATGGCACAAACCCAAAAGCACGTAGAAATAACGAAAGATCCTCTTCAGAAACCGAATTACGTATTAAAGGATCAAAATGTTAATCGAAGAAGGAAAAAAAAGTAATGAACCGCTATGTAATGTTTAATATTTTATATGGCAATGAATGCTACCCATTCGCCTCATATATATATATATATATATATATATATATATATATATATATATATATATATATATATATATAAAAAAATATAGGTAACTATACTCGTTTCGAAAAACCCTCGAATTTTGATTTGCCAATAATGAAATCAATCTCGAAGGAAAAAAAAAGGTTTTAAAAAAAGAAAGAGCTAGAAACATGAAAGTCTGTCGAAAAAAATCGCACAGATACAGGTTTGAAGCCCAAAGAAAAAAACCCGACACGAGTAAACAACTAACTAAAAAGAGCTCAATACAACTGTAGAGCAGACCTAGATAAACTTAGTGAGCCAGACAAACCTACCCAGTTTATCTATCTATCTATCTATCTATCTATCTATCTATATATATATATATATATATATATATATATATATATATAAAACGCCGGGAAGTGATTCTAATATAAACAGAGCATGTGGGAAACGAGAGAGTTTTAAGAAGAATACAAAGTACAAAATCGAGAAACCAATGTTGACTATCAGACACAGATTAAATATTTGGGATGCATAATGAGGAAGGGTGAATCTAATATTCACAGGATATACTGACAGCAATAGAAGAAGATAAAAATAGCGAGTGATCTTTGAGTAAATTTGAACAATAGGATTATTTAGCAAGTACCACAGAAACAGGTGTCGTAATGGAGAATTAAAAGACAAGAAGTTGTGACTAACTATAGTCGCCCAGATCCTGAAGTGACATAACACATAGAGAGATATACAAATAAAGATAACGCTAAAGAAAGCCATAATTATGTCTTATGACAACTACTTATTTGGTAGTAACGACTGGTACAATGGTGTAATTTATACTTGAAAACATGAAATATTTCTCACCTTCTCTTTGCTTTTCGATTTATCGTGGTAATTGTTAGAGAACGTGTGTATGTCACGACCTTTTCTGATTATTAGAAAACACGGACATTCGTAAATTGATGTGTTAAGTTGCGAACGAAACTTATCCATATGTAATTGATATATACACCTATGTAGATAAACCCGACTGCAGTATTTATTTGTACAGATTTATGAAATTTCTTCGAAGAATAATAGTTTCTCCAGGAATATCCTTTATTTTTAAAGACGATGCATATATATATATATATATATATATATATATATGTGTGTGTGTGTGTGTGTGTGTGTGTGTGTGTGTGTGTGTGAGTGTGTGTTTAGTGTGTGAGAGGCAAACAGAGAGGAGAGAGATACCAAGTTGAAACGTCATTAATAACGAGATTTTGTCGTCCTTAAATGGATTAAACAGTCATGCTACTAAATGACCGATTATAAACATAGATAACCTGCTGAATTTCAACAGAGAAGCGCCAACGGGACAAAATAGAAAAACGGACGAACGACGGCTAGGGCCATTGTCTTTCGATTTTGCCTTGATCAACTGGGGCCACGACCGATGTACCAAGCAGTAGGTCCCCCATAAATCACCCCGGGTGGGGACCGGCCATGGTAGGTGCCAGGGCCATTATTGATTTTCCTGGACGTATCTCGTTCTTTGTTGCCATTAATCTCACCTTGGGGCGCGTTGTTGCGCTGTCGGGGAAGAATTGTTTGGCGCTTTTATCTTTATCGGCCATTACTTTTGGTGACTGCATGCCGTTGGACGTCGTGGAGGCCGCTTGCCTGAGCGCCGAAATAAACCGTTTGCTTCGTTGTGGTAAGAAGATCCTACCGATTTACACTTTCTACATTTTCTTTATCTCCTTTGTTAAATTTTACTACAACACTTTTATTTTTCTATCATTTCTATTTCAAAGTAAGTAAATGTTTTCTTTTCCCAAATTTCGATTCATCATTGAAACAACCTTTTGATGACTTTTTCTTTCTTTCTTTCTTTCTTTCTTTCTTTCTTTCTTTCTTTCTTTCTTTCTTTCTTTCTTTCAGTTTTTCTTTCCGCGTTTCATATAGCCCCAACCATAAAAGAAATCTCTCAATATATTTTTCAGTTAAACTTGTCGCGAAATCATCAAGACCCAATGTTGCTTTTGCTTTTCTTATTTTGCTTTGATGAAAATCTCTTCTTAATTGAAAGCAAAACGAACTCTGTTGGCGGGAGATGTGAAAACACTCATTGAATCAATCATCACTTTCTTTTGTCTCCCTGATATTTACTAAGCATAGCTTAATTGACACAAGATCAGCAGAAGAAATGAGATAAGAAGATTATGATGCGTCAGTCTTTTAGTAACGAAAGCATACCAAGATGCCTTTTAATGTCAGTATTCTACATTTTGAATACTAGGCTCGAGCACTAATTACTTCGTCCATAAGCCTAATAGTCTTCTGTCTTCTTCAGTTTTTACAATCTCCACGCCTTTTTCTAACTTTCTACACAAAAAATTAAATGAAGTAAATAATGAAGTCTTTTCCATAGAAAGACACACCGCTCTGAAGTAAAACCTCAAAAAATGTGGAAGGAATCCAGAATCTATGATTAATCGGTACATTGTCTACAGCTGTGCTTCCCAACGTTATTTGTTAAAGAAGTTATTATAAATTATTTTTTTTTATTTTTTATTTTTTTTATCTAATGATTCAAACCAACAGTTTTTTGTAGGCATCATCAGATTTTTGGTTTGAATCATTAGATAAAAAAAAAAAAAATTAAAAAAAAAAAAATTTATAATAACTTGTTTAACAAATAGCCCAATCTTCAGATTCATAGTAGGAATAATTAACTACAAACATGCATACAACATAACACCCTTCATAATCCATAGCCCAAATTAGTAGTTTAAATACCTTACATAATAGATAACCCTTTATAAGTCGTCAAAAAACAAACGTTACGAAAGTTTTTCTTTTTTTATATGCACAATTCCCTTTCATAATAAAATAAAATAAAATAAAATAAATAAATCTCCATGGACAAGCAAACTAGACGAAGGTTAATACATCTTCCGTTTCATTTTAGACACCCCCACCTTTCCCCGATTTGACATCTTGAAAGTATCTTTATACCGCTATTTATTATTAACACCCTACACTCGCCTACCCAATTTAAACAATTCGCCCTTGCTGTTACCATGGAGATTTTGATTTCAATTTTTAAAACAAGTAAATTTCAGATATACGTTATTCCAACAAAAATTTCGCTTGAAGATGGAACGGAGCCCATTTTAATTTAAACTCAATTTAATTTAAAGGATTATATTGAAGTTTTCGGCTCTTGTTTTGAAACATGAGACCTCATATGTAGCGATTTGGAATCATATTTTTAAATATTATATATATATATATATATATATATATATATATATATATATATATTTATTAAAGAGATTTTATGTTTAATGTTCTTTTTTATAGATACAAGTATTTTAATAAATGTTTGTTTATAATAAATAGTATTAAATAACATTTACAGGTCGGTAAATGTTATTTAATACTGTTTATTATAAACAGAGCATTTACTTAAATACTTGTATCTATAAAAAAGAACGTTAAACATAAAAATGTCTTTAATAAAATAAATTGTCGGACTTTGTCCATTTCTTAATATATATATATATATATATATTAGAAATTTGATTTGACGGTGAGTGGGGGGGGCGTTGAGAACAAGGTTTGTGCCTAAAGGGGGCGCTGGTTGAAAAAAGGTTGGAAAACACTGGTCTTGATCATAGCTATCCTGGTTAGAAATTAAACTTTTACCCCGGCGCTCTAACTTACAAAATCAATGATATCCAAATGAGTGAAACTCAGTATTAAGTTCAATCGTATTACAATAAAAATCTAATCAAATGAAGTGAATTCTTGTCCACTTCCTGATCCCCAAAATTCCATATTTGATTTCTGATATTGCCTGAGTTTCTCATTTAACATTTTCAAATATTTTCTCTTTCTTTGTTATACTATTCAATTATATTCGATTCTAGTAACGCAAATATTCAGCAAACCAAACAGCGTTAAATGTTCTATTGTTTTGCTTAAAATATTTCTCTTCCCAATCGCATTTTAAATGAATGATTCACGAGCAGCAAAATTTAGGGTTTTTTTTGTTTTGTTTCTTCGATTTACCGATGTTCTTTCGTTTACAGAAATAGATAGATATAAATTCAAATAGAAACGATCTTCTTGCATATTGATTGATAAGTAACTCCCCATTTTTAAAATACTTTATTTATTAACTATAATTTTTACAAGAAATGGATATGAGATGAAAACGTTTAGCATGAGTTTTTATTTAAAATTCGATATGGCCACCAGATTTAG